GTCCTGAGAGGAAGCTGAGGCACCCCGGGGGCGTGGTTTCAGTGTGGACCCTAGAGATCTGCTCACCACTCTGACCCTCAGCCTCTTGTACACGGAGGCCCCATGACCTCTGGCCCCCAGGATGGCTGGAGAGAAGATACGCCTTAGGTGTGGAGGGACTGTGTGGCGGGCAACACTGACCGTGGCCCTTTCTGTGTCCTCAGGTGTGGGCAGCAGGGGCGGGGGTGGCCCACAGCCCCCCTGCCACACTTGTGTGGAAGAGCCAGGGCAGTTGGGGCACGGGCGAGAGCTTCCGGACCGTCCTGGTCAATGCCGACGGAGAGGTGGGTGTGTGGCGAGTTTGGGTGGTCACTGTGGGGTGTCTCTTGTCCAGGCTGCGAGCTGTCCGGGTGGCCCCTGACCCTGTTATCCCTGCCGCCTTTGACAGGAGGTGGCCATAAGAGCCGTGACCCAGTCGTCAGTGGTGCGGGACACCGAGAACGGGGAGGAAGAGGAGGAGGAAGAGGCCGAGTTCGGGGAGGAGGATCTTTTCCATCAGCAGGTAGAGACCCTGCCCTGTGCACCCACACACATGTATACAAACATTCCTCCACAGTGTGTACACATACACATATGTACACACGCTGATACACTCAACATGTAAGCACATAACCTACACGTTCTCATGAACACACACCCATATACACATGCTAAACATGTACGCACTTACCCCACTCATACACTCAACATGTACACACACTCACACACTCTACATGTACACTCACCATATACACACTCAACCTGTACATACTTACACTCCCCATGTTGTTGTTGTTGTTAAGTGCCGTCGAGTCAGTTCTGACCCATAGCGACCCTGTACGGGGTTTCCGAGGGTGTAAATCTTTACGGGAGTAGAAAGCCTCATCTTTCTCCCGCGGAGCGGCTGGTAGTTTCGAACCGCTGACCTTAAGGTTCGCAGCCCGATTCGTAACCACTACGCTACCAGAGCTCCTTTACACTCCCCATATACACACTCATATATACTCCCATGTAGACATGTACACTCACTTATGTACATATCCATGCACCTAGAGTTGGCATGTATACACACATCACTATACACACTCATAGGTCTGTTCACAGAGATGACATAGATACACCCTAATCCACACACACTCCATGTACATGTAACTGACCATATGCATACACTCATTTACATATATACATGCAACATGCACACCGTTCCCACCCACATAACACCCACACGAACACAGTGCCCAGCCCCAGAAACTGTGTTGGGACTCTGGGATGGCTTAACAGCGGTGGACGGCCCAGTAGAACGATGAAGAATCACATTACGAGAGTCCTCGGTTCTGAAGCACAAAAATGTAGCTCAGAATTGTAATGGGGACATGGAAAGTTCTGGAATTGGCAGCTGTTATAGCTGAAGCGGCTGACCTTGTGGTCTGGTTGAGAGCAGAAACTTTCGGGGGACCCCATTTCTGAAATCAGCCCACCTCCCGTTGGCCCCCAGGGTACCGCCTAACTGCTCCCTCCCTCCTTTTTTCTAGGGGGACCCACGGACCACCTCAAGGGGCTGCCGCGTGATGTGAGCCGAGCTGTCCTCCCCCTAGAGCCACTGAAGACTATTTTTCTATCACTGGCTTTTCTTTAGTCCTTGATACATTTCTAGCGAATTTTTATGTAACTGCCAGACATAGGGGGCGGGGGGTCTCTATTGATCTTTTGTATCTGTGGGGTCTAGAGGAGCCCTTTACCCCCTTTCACCATCTGGTGGAATTTTAGGCCCAGGGCCAGTTAAAGGGGGGTTGGGCTTGGAGATGGGAGGGTCGGGTCTGGGAGGGGACAGGGACAAGGAACCTGGGCCTCTAGGGGGCCAGAGAGCCCGGAACTGAGTAGGAATTCTATAGGTTTCTATCCTTGATTTTTGTGAAGTGTTTGAAAACCAAATTCAGGACCCAGGTTCTAGCCTCGTGGGGCTCGTTACAAGCCGTGGGGTTTTGGCTGCTCTCTGTCAGCGTCTCAGAATCAGGTGCTGAAGCCGCTGGGGTTCACAAGGGGGGGCAGTGTTGGAGCCTCTTGCCCTCCAAGAGTTGGTCCCGATGTGTGCTGTGGTGGTTGGGATGGGACGTTGAGTCTTACCTCTGAAAGCTTTCTGGGCTGGGGGCCTCCTGAGGCCCCGCTCTTGGCTGCCTGGGCCTTGCTTTTGGAGTTTCCTGTAGTCCCCCAGAGGGCAGGAGGGGGACCTGGGGATAGGGACAGACCCTTAGACTTGACACTGAGGTCAACAGAAGGGTCTGGTTTGAGGACACAGACTACACCGGTCGTCTTAATGGCCCCAGACAGACACTCCATGTTTTAGAGCAAATGTCTGTGGCATTGCAGCCCACTCTCCACCCCGCCTGCCTCCCCGGTGTCCTGCTCTCCTCACCATGGAGTGTGGGGCTGTGCTCTCCCCACCCCCCCTTTCCATAACGTACCTTCTGTGGCTTGCTCACCAAAACATGGGATTCTCAGACGGACCTGCAAATGCCCAATGGCCCCTCCAATGCAGCTCTGGAGCTGCCTGCCCACCCCACTAGCTGTCCACACTCGCTTTTCCGTTGACACCCCTTCCACCCAGATACACAGAAGTTATTTTTTTAATGGATATTTATTTTTTTACATTGGTCAGTACGCAGATCACTGGGATCCTGCATCCTGGCCGACAACAGGCTGGTGGGTGCCTCCCCCAGGGGGGAGTCATCTGAGGGAGGGCCTGTCTTACGGGCTTCAAGCCCTCAAACGGCAGCCTGCCTTCAGAAAACACTGCCTTCAGAAAGTGCAGCTTGAATCTTAAAGCCGCTACACTTTGAGCCGTAGCTGTGGGTGGGTGCTGCCCTTGGGTGGAGGAATGGCCCCAGGCCCCCAGGGGCCATGGAGGCGTACAGGCACCACTGCACCCCCTTTGCTTCTGCACCTGACCCCTCCCTCCCCATCTGTCTTCTCTGGCTCCCTGGTGGAGGGGCTGCAGGAACAGGCTGGTTCCCAAGCCCCAGGGACTGCTAGTCTCTCAGGTCCCTGACCCAGTGCCCCTCTCCCTGAAGGAGGCTTGCATTCCACACAGGTCCTGGGCAAAGGCCCCTCAAGGTTCCCATGCTCGATGTTGAGTTGCCTAGGTCCCTGAAACTACACTTCCCTTGCCCCCTGTGGGCCCCAGAAAGGGTTCTGGAGGGTGGGTTCCTGCTGGCCCCCAAAACATGGAAAGGCAGCCTGATGTGAGCAACTACCCTGTGTGCGCTGGTAAGGAGCCTGGGTCTGAGGCCTCCTGGACTTAGAGAAGGGGATGGGGTCCCCAGCTTGCCTCCCTGGCCTGTGTCTCCTGTAGACTTGCTCCCCTCCCTGATGCTGCCTTGTGTTCTCACCCCCACCCCAAATGCAGCCACAGTTCACAGGCTGGGCTTGTCCGGGCACTGCACTCAGTGGCACTTGGCTGGTGTTCTGGGGTGGCTGTTGGGAAGCAAGTATTCGGGAAACATGTAGCTGAATTGGCTGTGGCCTCAGAGACCATTTGTGCTTGTCAAATGCACTCGGCTCTTCTCACCCTTATTTCATAGACGCCTACAGTTCCCAGCACAGTGGACCAAGAGAGCACTTTAGCTTCTTTCCAGTAAGGGAAGCTGGCCTACTGGGATGGGGCTGTGGCACCCTTGGTTCCTAGGGATGGATTATGCACCCCCCATTATGATTGCTAATATCTATGCCGCAAACCTTGGTAATTCTGTTACAATAGAAACAGCCGATCGGAGGACAGATCGTGTTTTGACTTAGGTGTCTTTAAGACCCTACATGGGCGGAGAATCCGCACAACTTGCGAAGTGATTTGATGCAGCAACAGATGTTGGTGGCTTCTAAGAAGATGCATGCCAAATGTGTGCTCCGTTTTGTTTTTTTCCCTCCCAATAATTTGTAATATACATTTTATGACTGGAAACTTTTGTACAACACTCCAATAAACATTTTGATTTTAAGTTCCGTCTCCCAGTTCACTCTTGTGCTGTGCTTTTGAGGAAGGTTGCGGGGGGTCCCTCTGAAATGGGCGTCTGAAAACCATCCTCTGCCCCCAAGGATCGATTACGTGCTCAGTGTACACAGATCCTTCCCGTACGATGACAGGTGGTCCCCGCTACCCCTGCCTTTTAAGCACTAAGAGTTCACCTGTTCACACTGATCCTGCCCTTTGTCACGTGCTAAAATCGGGCCAGGTCAATGGATGCCCTGTTCTCCAGACATAGGAGTCCTAGTGTGGCGCTATGGGTTAATGCGCTGGACTGCAAAGTCGGTTTGAGCCACAAGGTCGGCGGTTCAAGCTCACCGGCAGCTCCTCGGAAACCCTATACAGGGTCGCTAAGGGTCAGAACAGTCTCGACGGCATTTAAGAAGCGCAGTGCACTGGTATGGCGCTGCAGGATACACTGGGCTGCTCACCGCAAGGTCAGCCGTTCAAACTCACCAACGGCTCCTTGGAAACCCTGTACAGTGTCGCTGAGTCTACTGACTGGACGGCACTTAACAATTTCAGCGCTGTCTTGTCTCCTGCGCACGCAGGTGTGCGGGTTTAGGCACGTGTAGCCTTGTGGGAGTTGTAGTCCGACCCTCCCCAGCTCTCTGTGACTTCATTCTCCGTGATGCCACGCGCGGCCAGCTTCCGGCATAGGTACGGGTCGGCGCACGCGGCCGCCGTGCGGTTGACTTTGCGGAGCCATGGAGGGCGGTTTCGGCTCGGATTTCGGAAGCTCTGGCGGCGGGAAGCTGGACCCAGGGCTCATCATGGAGCAAGTGAAGGTGCAGATTGCCGTGGCCAACGCGCAGGAGCTGTTGCAGGTCTGTGGTCGGGCCGGGGGCGGAGCGGGGGGGAGTAGGAGTTGCCCGAAAGTGGGGGTCGTGACTGAGTGCCCGCGTGTCTCCGCAGAGGATGACGGACAAGTGTTTCCGGAAGTGCATCGGGAAGCCTGGGGGCTCGCTGGACAACTCTGAGCAGGTGAGACCCGTGGGATCGGCGGGCTGGGGTCGCGGACCGGGCGGGAGGGCCACTACGCGTGCGCGGAGTCACAGGGGCAGTGCGAAACAGGGTCATGCGCGTGCGCAGTCTGTTGTCGGGGGGGGGGGGGCATCTACCTGCAGGGTTGGGCAGTCCTAGGGTATGTGACCAGGACACCGTTCTGAGCCCCTTCCCCCCCCCCCAGAAATGCATCGCCATGTGCATGGACCGCTACATGGACGCTTGGAACACTGTGTCCCGCGCCTACAATTCGCGGCTGCAGCGGGAGCGAGCCAACATGTGACCAGGACCGTCGCCTGGAAGCCTCTTAATCCCCGTGTCCTTTTCCATAAACGTTCTCTGTGAGTGACAGCTCCGTGGAGGCGGAGCCACGTGGAACTGTGCCGTCCATGGCCTTGAGACCCTGCCACGAGTGTAACTGTGTCTTGGGGAGCTGTGTTTCTTACCCAAACGCTGGCAGCTCAGGGGCAGTCGCTGGTCCCGCCCTGGTGTGTCCCTAGGGTTGGCCTCATGCCCCAGGAGGGGGGTGGGGTGGGGTGAAGGGGTGTCCTTGTTTGGACCTTAGAGGGGAGCAGACACACCCATCAGAGCCAGGACCTTTTGAGGCAGTGAAATAAATACTTGAGAGAGAGGAGCCTGTGTATTTCGCCCCCTTTAGGTCTCTGGGTGTCTAGACAGTGTTGCTGTACATGGGATTTAAGCTTTTCTGGCAGGGAGGAAGGGGACTTCCATGTTTGCCCTGTGAGCCCCAGATGCCAGGCCAGGTGGTGGGGAAATGTGTTCAATGAAAACCAAGACCTTCCAGCCCGGAAGGCTAACGCCAGCCCCCAGGCTTTCTCCAGACCCCCCCACCATGGGGGGTGGTCAGTCAAGTGTAGAACCAGCAAGCTGGGGACAGGAGGCTGTATTTATTGTAACAAAATCTGCTGCAAAACTGCACCCTCTCCGACAGCCCCCTCTGCCCACCGTATCACCCCCCCCCTGGGCAGACTGGGTGATGCCTGTCGCCTGCCACCTTCACATCTTGCTGCCTGTCAGTCCTCGATGTTCCGTCCGATCCAGCCTCTCACTGCGGCCACCCTCGTGTAGACGCCTGGGAAGTGGGGCCGCCCGCAGCCGTAGCCCCAGCTGGTGACCCCCATTAACACCCACCGTCCTGAGGGCTCCCTGCAAGCTAGGGGCCCCCCAGCGTCACCCTGAGAGGGAAGAGAAAAGGGTACTCAGGTTAGGCCAATGTCCCCATCCTTGGGGCGCATGGGCTGGGATCCCTTGGTAGCCTCTCCCAGACTGTCCAGCTGACAGTCACTTCAGGACATTCCCTGGTGGCGACAATGGTGGACATCAAGTAGACCTGACCTCGCCCTCAGCCAGGACCCTGCCTGGGACATCGGCGAGACTGACAGTGTCTGGACCAGGAACCTGCCAAAGAGTCCACCAGCGCCCTCTGGTTCACCCCCTCAATGCTGCCCCCCCC